GCGGAGGTGGGCTCCCAGCGTCTGTCTGCCTAAAGCAGGGGCGCGCCGCGCGGAATCGCAGAGCGACTTCCCGGGACGGTGAGAATTTGCGGGTTGGGGAGGGAGCAGTGAGGGGCCCGGTCCCCCGGGGGGAAAGGCCGGAGGAGTGGTCATATAGTCTCCTAGGGCACGGTCTAAGTCAGGGCTGAAGATCGTCTACAGCTGTTTCCTTCTGAGGTACACAGCCAGGGCTTCGGGAGAGCAGATCTGAACCGGGATGTTAGAGCAAAAGGCACTCCGAACCCTCCGAGATACGGAGGATCCAGGTGGCCTCGGTAGGCCGAAAAGGTCTTGTGGAGGATGCAGGTCTGATGCTAAGGGTGGACAGGATTTCAGCCGTACGTAGCTGCTTCGGAGGGAGCGCTTACCCGGACTGGGTGCAAGGAGAAAAGCCCCAAGGATGTCAAGTAGAGAAACCTTGGGGTCATCTTTAATTTGACCTATGACTTCTTGAAGTAGAGTCACAATCTCAGCACTAATCATGGTTTTGACTCTTTCCCTACTGCCTGTAGACCCAGTCTCATTTTCCTCCCTTTTCAGTCAGTGTAGCTCTTGTAATTTGACACGTTTCAGTGGCTCTGAGTCCTTTCTGCACTTTTTAGTGATTAATTTTCAACCTTCCGTAGGCCCATGCTATTTAGCATAACTGCCCAGAATCTATGGGTTCGCTCTCCTTTTTACAGGCTCTGTAGTCACATAGTAGTTGCATGTGTTCACCTCTCATTCCTTGAGGCTCTTTTTGTGTGTGTATTTGAATTTAGGACTTTTCTGTTTCAGTCGATTTGGTACATTTCATATTCCCATGTACCCATCAGACACCATTTACCAATATGAAATAGTGCCAAAGTGGATATCACATCTTATCCAAAATGGACATTTGGTGAGAGAATGGCAGCTGGGCCAGTAGATATCATCTATACTAATAAAAGGGTAATAGGCTAATTAGACCAGACGTCTTCCAGATGTCCTTCCAGATAAAGCCATGGTGGTAGGGCCAAGGAAGAGGAGGTTAGGGGTAATCAGGCCAGCAGGGTAGAGCAGTTAAGGTGATCAGGCTGGCAGGGGGGATCAGGCTGGCAGGGGAGAGCAGTTAGGGCAATCGGGCCAGCAGGCAGGTGAGCGGTTAGAAGCCAGGGGTCCCGGATTGCGAGAGCGATTAGGCCTGTGGGATTGGGCCTAAACCAGCAGTCGGACATCCCCCGAAGGGTTCCAGATTGGAGAGGGTGCAGGCTGGGCTGAGGACACCTCCTCCCTCCCCCCCCCCCCCCCCCCCCTTGAATGCACGAATTTCAGGCACCAGGCCTCTAGTCTACAATAAAGGGAGAATATGGGAATATGGGAAAAGAGCTTCGGGGCCTTGCTGGCATCCATTTTAGTACTGTCCTGGCCAGGCTTCAGAGGTTTCTGGTACCACAGATGAGGACATCATTTGAAGAGATGGATACACCTATCTATGCCACTGGATAGATACTTATTTTCTTTGATGCTCCCTTTTTTTTTTAATTCCTCCCCTCCCCCAGCAACTTTCTTAGCAATGGAAAGGGTGCTTTCCTGGAGAGGATATGTCTTAGTGATCACACGGAGGGACTGCACTGAGAATGCCAATGCCCTGTATTTCTGATTTGTGTGTCCATGGTGTGTTTCATTGTTAATTAATACATTAGCTTTTGGTGTCTGCCTCAAGCTTGTGTTTGGTAAGTTCAAGTCTCTTAAGGCCTGATAGTCCTTGGGGACAAAGAGCAACAATAATAAAGCCACCTCTAGCTCTCCACCGCAGCTCTGCTATTTCCTGGTGTCTGTACATTCTCCCGACTTCTCCGTTGGTAGTGTGAACAAGTCTTGTAATCAGATAAAACCAGTGTGCATTAGATGAAGCCAAACCACTTGTTAATATGTCTTTGATTCTTACTCAGCGTTTTCTCTTTTTAAAAAAAGTAAGTTTATAGAAGGCAAGGTTGACTTTCAGGGAGAGTATGTGATGGACTCGGAACAAAACCAGAATTGGACAATTGATTGTTGCTAGTGCTAGTATTAGTACACCTAAGTGACACAGTTCTAGTTTCACAACTCCCTTTCAATACTTTACAGTAGTCGCCCTTATCCATGGTTTTGCATTCCAGTTTCAGTTACCTGTGGTCAACTGTGGTCCAAAAATATTAAATAGGAAATTCCAGAAATAAATAATTCCTAAGTTTTAAATTGCACACTGTTCTGAGCAGTTTGATGAATTCTTACCCAGTACTGCTTTTTCCTACCCAGATGTGAACCATCCCTTTGTGCAGTGTCTCCAGGCTATAACACTACCCTACCCCTTTGTCACTGGGTAGACCTTTCAGTTATCAGACTGTCATGGTATCACAGTGATTGTGTTCAAGTAACCCTTATTTTACTTAAAAATGATCCCAACATATAAGAGTAGTGATGCTGGCAATTCAGATATGCCAAAGAGAAGCTGTAAAGTGCTTCTTTC